AACTTAATCATGTTTAAGCTAATTAATCGAGATTAGTTTAAGATAATCATAATTAGTTTAATGTTAATTAAAGATTAATTAACATTAATAAAGATTAATTAAGGGATAATTATGCTTAAAGTGTTAATGAGCAAGTCATTCAGTTTATTTATATAAATCATGTTTATAGTTCCGATATAATAACATTGTAGATTATTATTTTCGGAATTAGTTATTTTCAGTCATTTCAGTCGAGATTACCGAAATCTATTTTCGACGTATCGTTTACGTTCGGAATAATTTTGGTAATTATGTAATATGTTTAATTGAATAATTAAACATGTATTAGTGATTAATTATTAATTAATCACCCTTTGGTAATTAATCGTGTTTTTAGAACAATTTCTCCGAAATTACCGAAAGTCATTCTTCCTATTCAAACCAAATTATTTCTCATTTTTTTAACTGTGAAACGTGGCATTAAAATGAGCAACTTAGTCATCCTTAATTGACTAATAGTGTAGCAAGTGTAAAGAAAAGGAGAAGCCACAATTTCCTTTATTTTCTTTCGGGTTCAGCATAGAGAGAGAGGGAGAGACCGAACAGTTTTATTTCCTTCCTCCATTTTATTTTCTTGAGCTTCAGAGAGAGAGAAAGTTTCAAGAGATTTCAAGTAGAGAGTGAGAGAGAAATTAGTAATTGTTTCATTGTTCAAGATTAGCAAGAAGCTTCGCACCGCACCACCCTACCGCCGCAAGCACACGGCACCGAATTACCCCTTCAGGACATTCCGTCCGCCGGAGATCGGAGGAGATAGAGGTAATTCCGGTTACCTTGAATCGATTAAGTTAGTAATTAGATAGCGGTATCGAAATTAAGCCAAGTTATGTTGGGGTCTTGAACCTCCCAGCCGTGTGCAGGTTCGTGTGTGTATGTGTGTGTCCAGATTGAGTACATAAGGTCATTATGTTACTTCTGCGATTATGTAAGTAATTCGAGTTATCTCTGAATTGATCATGCGGAAGTGAATTAGTTCAGATTTTGCTGAAGCTTCGGGCCAGTTGGCTGTGTATGTTCGTGAGGGTCTGTGTGTGCGTGTGTTCATATGAAGAATTTAGTCCAGGCCTCATGTTTATTGCAGAAATTGGATAATAATCAGACCCTGTTGAATTCAGTTATGTGATATCATGTTAATAAAATAGGTCTCGGTTGCTTAGTGGCTGAAAGCCTTCGGCCGTGTGTACCGTATGTACTGTGTGTGTGTGTTTATGTGTAATTCAAGTTGAGTTCTTGTTGTGGTGTTGAATTGTACGGCTGGGTACATCCGTGTGCACCTTTGGGTGTATCCACGGGAGAAATCATACCTAAGTATCATGTTTATTCGGAAAGACCGAGTAACTTTATGTTTCGTTCGGAAATTCATATGCATTGCAGGCTTAATTAGTTATGTCAAGTTCAGTTGTCCAGCCCATATAAAGAAATTTAAGTGATTATCATGTAATACTCGGTTTAACTTGTTCGAGGTTATAACCGAGTTAAGTTAAATTCTACTAGAAAATCATCGAGCAAATTATGCTTATTTAATCATTTCAAGTTATTATATGATCAGTTTTAGAGATTAGTTGGAATAAGTTGAAGTTTAGTTCAGGTATTAGCCTGAGGAAGTGGACATCGCCCGTAGCGCCCGTTTACGGGCCATCATGTGATATATATATATATATATATATATATACTTTTGTGTGTCAATATGATTAGAAATGTTCAAGTAGCTCATGTTCAATAAGATTCAGATGGTATATATACGATTAGTTGTTCATGGTTATTCGATGAAGTTGTAGTTTGTTCGAAGATTTAGCTTATCTTTGAGTGTGTGCATTCGGTGTGCACGCCTCAACACTCTCAGTAGGTAAAGTTCATGATTTCAATTCCATTTCAGTTAACTTCCAAGTCCAGATCAGTTCAGTAAATTTATATCAGTTAAGTCCCGAGTTTGGGCGGTTTCAGTTATACCGGTTAAGTTCAGATAACATGTTTAAGTCTAGTAGAGCATCTTAACATGTTAATCAGTTATTTTTATCAGTCT